ATTAGTGTGTGTGTGTGTTCTTCCAAATAGTCATGGGAAACGAAACCTCAGAAAGTTCACTTGGTTATAAAACAGAACTGAAATAGGTACAGTTTTTTCATAATATTTGTCTTCCAAGAACTTTTTGAAGATGTCTCCTATACATGGATTTCAAAAATGTTTACACCAAAGGGAACTTTTTGAAGTACTTTTATATTTTAGAAAAAAATCAATATCATATATAAAAGTTAAAATGCAATAAATTGTCAATTTCTCTGTGACAGGGAAGTTACACCAAGATCATATATAGAACATTTAATTGTGGTTAAATGTCATATGTGTTTTGCTGAGTTACTCTTATATAACGAATGACACTATAATATAATACTTTTAGGAAAAATTTTAGCAGTATGTGCCAAGAATCATAAAAGTTTTAGAGCCTCTTTGACCCCAAAATGCCAAATCTAATGATTTACCACAAAATCATATGACTAAAAGTGTTCACCAGTTTTCTCACAATGAAAAACTGGAAGCAAATTAAATGTCAACAATGAAAGAATGTTTAGTGGAAACTAATTTATTTGACGGCATATTATGCAATCACTAAAAATAAAAACTATGAAAACCAAATACAAATATGGTACAAAGTATATGATATAGTATTGAATGAGAAGTACATTTTTGTTGGTTTTGGAAAAAATGAACTGGAAATTATAATACCAGCATTAAGTGGAATTTGAGAAAATGTTCCTCTTTTTAAATTGCTTCAAAATATTTAATAATATACTGCTACTTACAATTGCATGAAATTATTATCAGACTACAAGTCTTAAATATGAATTTTAGATGTTTCCAATGGATATTTGGAAGCTTAGAGATGATAAAATTTGAATGTATTTATATTATTTATGTACCAATTGCTATAACCATTTGGGGGAGAAGTATTTTTTGTTGTTAAGCTTTACTTGTGTATTTGAAGGGCTGGCATTGTGGCATAGCAAGCTAAGCCTCTGCCTGTGATGCCAGCTGCTCCCTTTTGAGTCCGGCTGTTCCATTTCTGATGCAGTTTTCTGCTGGTGTGCTGGGGAGAGCAGCAGAGGATGACTTGAGTCCTTGGGATCCTGCACCCATACAGAAGACCCAGAAGGAGCTGCTGGCCCAGTTCCAGCTATTGCTGCCATTTGGGGAGCAAACCAAAGAATGGAGGATTCTCTGTATCACCACCTTTCTCTGTAACTTTGCCTTTCAAATAATTTTCTTTAAAAAGATGTTTAAAAAGACTTATTTATGTATTTTGAAGGGCAGAATATTAGAGGAGAGCTGGATATACAGCAATCTTCCAACCACTGGGTCCCTCTTCAGTGGCCACCTATCTGAAGCCAGGAACCAGGAGCTTCTTCGGGTTTCCCATAGGGGTGGCAGGAGTCCAAGCCATTTTCTGTTGCTCTCTGTCATTCATTAGTAGAGAGCTGGGTCAGAAGTGGAGCAGCTGAGATTCAAACTAGTGTCCATGTGGGATGCCAAGGTGTAGGCAGCAGCTTAACCCATTGAGCCATAGCACCATCCCTACTATAACCATGTGTGATTCTCTAAAAATGAATATTAATCTAGGAATCAACAGCAGCTATTGGCATGTATAGAGAGTTCCCCAAAACTCAAACTGAACCAAATTGAAGTATTAAATTTATTTATGTACCTATAATGTATATGTGTTTTTTAATCTGTTTTATTTTTCAAACATTGATTTGGGAGAGAGCAGTCTTCCATGTGCTGGCCTACTCCCCAGCTGCCCACAATAGTCATGCCTGGGCCAAGCTGAAACAGGAGCCAGGAACTCAATCTGGTTTCCTGTATGGGGAGCAGGGACCTAAGTGCTTGAGCCATCACCAGCTGCCCTCCAGTGTGCACATGAGCAGAAGCAAAGCAAAGACATGAACTCAGGCACTCCAATATAGGATGATGGTAATCCAGGTGGTATTTGAACTCCTGCACTAAATGCCTGACACTATAAAGTATATATTTCTCTCAGAATGCCTATCCCTTTTTATTCAACTGATTGTCTAATACTACAGTCTTTTTATGGAGGCTTAACAGGCATTGAGGCCCTCCTAAGTGCTATCAGAGACAACACAAATGTATTAGATACTTCTCTTGCCCTTATAGTTGTTTTTTTTAATTTATTTATTTCTATTACAAAGTCAGATATACAGAGAAGAAGATCTTCTCCCCAAGTGACCACAACGGCCGGTGCTGCTCCGATCTGAAGCCGGGAACCAGGAACCTCTTCCAGGTCTCCCACATGGGTGCAGGGTCCCAAAGCTTTGGGCCATCCTCAACTGCTTTCCCAGGCCACAAGCAGGGAGCTGGCTGGGAAGTGGAGCTGCTGGGATTGGAACCGGCGCCCATATGGGATCCGGGTGCGTTCAAGCGGAGGACTTTAGCTGCTAGGCCACACCGCCAGGCCCAGCCCTTACAGTTTTAATGCCTAACTTGTAAGCAAACATGAGAGTACTTCAAAAGTTGCTGGAAAGGGCTTGGCACAATGGCCTAGCACCTGAAAAAAAAAAAAAAGGGGTACATTTAGGGCCCAGGGTTGTGGCAAAATAGGGTGACTACTTGCAGTGCTAGCATCCACTATAGGAGTGGTTGTTTGAGTACTTCCTGCTCTGCCTGCAATCCAGCTTTCTGTTAATGTCCCTGGGAAGACAGCAAGGCCCCTGCCGCACCGTGGGGTCCTGGATGGAACTTCTGGCTCCTGGATTTAGCATGGCCTCAGTTGCGGCCATGTGGGGAGTGAACAACAGGTGAAAGATTCTCTGACCACTTGCTCTGACACTCTGCCATTCAAGTAAACCATTAAATCTACTTGCTGCTGATTTGGCCTAGCAATTGAGAAAGTGAGTTGGAATTCCAATGTCCTGTCCAGAGTGCTTAGACTTCAGCTTCCTGCTAGTGTAGGACCTGGGGAGGCTACAGTACTGACTCAACTAATTGGGTTCCTGCCACCCATGTGGGAGACTTGGCTCCCAGCTCCCAGCTTTGGCGCAGCCCAGCCCTGGCTCTTACAAGCATCTACAGAACAAACCAAGAGGTTTTTTTTTTTTTTTTTCTCCTTCACTCTCCATCTCTCCCTTTTCTACTTCTCAAATTGACAAATTAATTGAAAAAATTTAAGATCAAGTTTCTTTAGGTACAGGTTTTAATCTGAGGTTCAAGCATACCCTTTGCATAATATGCATTTTAAGAAAAGATTTATTCGGACTGGCAGCGTGGCCCAGCAGCTACAGTCCTCCCCTTGAACGCACCTGGATCCCATATGGACACCGGTTCTAATCCCGGCAGCTCCACTTCCCAGCCAGCTCCCTGCTTGTGGCCTGGGAAAGCAGTTGAGGACGGCCCAAGACTTTGGGACCCTGCACCCGTGTGGGAGACCTGGAAAAAGTTCCTGGATCCTGGCTTCGGATTGGCATAGCATCGGCCATTGTGCTCACTTGGGGAGTGGATCATCGGATGGAAGATCTTCCTCTCTGTCTCTTCTCTCTGTATATCTGACTTTCCAATAAATAAATACATGTTTTTTAAAAGTTTTATTTATTTTTATTGGAAAGACATTTACAGAGAGTAGGAGAGACAGAGAGAGAAAAATCTGCTATTCACTGGTTTGCGAGATGACTGCGATGGCCAGAGCTGAACTGATCTAAAGCCAGGAGCCAGGAGCTTCTTCTGGGTCTCCCACATGGGTGCAGGGTCTTAAGGCTGTAGGTCATTTTCTCTGTTTCCCCAGGCCACAAACAGGGAGCTGAATGAGAAGAGGCACAGTTTGGACAGGAACCAGCATCCACATGGGATTCTGACACTTGGAGGTGTAAGATAGCCAGTTGAACCAACACCCTGGCTCCCTATAATATGCATTTTCCATGAAATTTTGCAGATCTCTCCTACAGAGGAGCCAATTTGACCCCATTTAGTGTTAATCAATTTGGTTATTTTTTTTTCCTTTTAGATTTTTTTTGTATTATTTATTTATTTAAGATTTATTTTATTTTTATTGGAAAGGCGAATATACAAAGTGGAGAGACAGAGAGGAAGATCTTCAGTCCGATGATTCACTCCCCAAGTGACCACAACGGCTCATGCTATGTCGGTCCCAGGATTCTCTAGAATTTCCATTGCCACAGTCAGGAAGCAGATCAAACATTAGCTGACTACAGGTGAGTTCTTGTGGTCTGCACTGATGGAGCTTTGTCTAGACATTGCAATGGAGCCTTGAGTTTGGATAGCCGAAAGTCTTAGCAGATATAATGGGGTGTTGCCAAATTAGCTTGGAGTGTGAGGTTGCTTAGAGGAAAGCTTTGATTTACTTGTGACCAGTAAAGGAGGCAGTGGGACGAGTTCTCAGAAAGCACTACCCAGAGCAGCAGTTTGCTAGGGCTGGAATAACAAGGGATGGAGGAATGTCCCTAGAAAAGAGAGATAGGAACTCCCTCTGCCCCATCCAATTTTAGCAACATAACTTTAATACATTGTATGTTTTTAAAATGATGGCAGTCTCCTCTCCTGGGTGGAGAATTTAGTAATTAGTAGAGTGTGCTTTATGTTACCATGATCTGACCCAAAACTGGTTTCTTGCAACTCTAGCTATTCCTTGTTTGTGGTGATCTGGCTCCCTCTAAGTGCAGTGTTGCAAGCTAAGCTTTTCTGGAACCTGAAAAATAAGCCCAAGAAAATGTGTACTCACAAACTGTCTGCCCTTGTTGTAGTGCCAACCTTTTTGCCTAGATTCTACTTTCTTGATCACCAAAGAGCAAGAGAAACTGTTTATACTCTCAAATGCGGTAGCATCAAGATTGAGAGCAGAATTTTAGTTCAACCAACTTGAGCCTGTAGTTCTGGAGCTGCTCAAATTCTGTTCTCTGCTAAATGCACATCTCAGTACCTCCTAGGAGAGATTGTTACGAATATCAGTGTTGAGAGAGAGATGGAGAATGAAGGCAGACCTAAAGCATCTCATTGCTTTTCAGGTCCTTGCTTGCATGACAGAACAGATTCCAACCCCTCAGACCTCCCACAGCCCCCTACAATCTCCCTTAGCCAGCTTAACCTCTCTTCAACTGTAATCCTGCTTTCAAAGAAGCCTAGCAAACCAGCTCAACCCTGCCTAATGCCCGCCCAGACACAACCCTCTGCTGCCTTAACTCCATGAACCCGGGTCTGTGAGAGAGCGCACCTCTCTACCAGGTGCTCTGTGCTCTTGCTAATGGTGACTTCCTCTCTAGTAAACCTGTCCTGGATGTTGAGTTTGTAATCTGTGTCTCGTTTTGTGCCTTTGTGCTTATAAAAATATTATTTTTATAGATTTTATTTACTTCTATTGGAAAGTCAGATCTATAGAGAAAAGAAGATACAGAAACAAAGATCTTCCAACCAGTGGTTCGCTCCCCAAGTGAGCACAATGGCCGGAGCTGAACTGATCCAAAGCCAGGAGCCAGGAGTTTCTTCCAGGTCTTCCACGCAGGTGCAGGGTCCCAAGGTTCTGGCCCGTCCTCGACTGCTTTCCCAGGCCGCAAGCAGGGAGCTGGATGGGAAGTGGGGCAGCCAGAACATGAACCAGAACCCATATGGGATCCTGGCGCATGTAAGATGAGGACTTTAGCCACTAGGCTTCAGCACCAGGCCCTCATAAAATATTATTAAAAGCACTTTAAAAATCTCACTAAAATTTCAGCACACACTTCCCAAAACATTTCTGAAAATGTGTAAATGAAAAATTGACAGATGATTGTTTTTTAAAAGTTATGCGGGCATACTGTCACATGATGTGGCCAGCTTGTGATCCTTTCCTGCTTTTCCGTTTCTACCAGGCTTGTGGTAACTTAATAAACAGTAGCTTAAAATGATTGCAAAGTACTGAATCTCTCTCCAAATATATATCCCTGGGGAACTAAATGTTACATTTCCCTCTTACTAAGAAAGCATTTCTTTCTTTAAAGGAAAATATTTCATTGGTAGCCATATAACTATGTTTTAAAAATTATGTATTATAAATCATTCATTTTGTTAGCTATTTATGCACTATTAAAATTTCCTATTAAAATAATCCTTTCATTTTTAAAATGTCAATTTCTTTTTTATAAAGATTTATTTTTATTATTTTTTTATTGGAAAGGCGGATATACAGAGAGGAGAGACAGAGAGGAAGATCTTCCGTCCGATGATTCACTCCCCAAGAGACCACCACAGCTGGAGCTGAGCCAGTCCGAAGCCAGGAGCCAGGAGCCTCTTCCAGGTCTCCCATGCAGGTACAGGGTCCCATTGCTTTGGGGCATCCTTAAATGCCTTCCTAGGCCACAAGCAGGGAGCTGGAAAGGAAGTGGGGCTGCCGGGATTAGAACCGGCGCCCATATGGGATCCCGGGCGTGCAAGGCGAGGACTTAACCACTTGCGCCACCGTGCCGGGCCCCATAAAATGTCAATTTCTATAAAGCCTTTTGTGCCACCAAATTCTTTCTCCAGTCTTCATTGTGAGGAAGGGTGATGGTGTAATCAATTTTAAAACCGAAAGTGCCAAACAATTCACCGTTTACACGTTAGAAAGTGAAAGGCATTCAGCCCCATCTGTCCCTCCCCAGCACTTTAATCTCCACCTGTCATCTCTTTTAGTGTGCTAAAGTTTCTGGTCATTTCTTAGGACACAGTATCAGGAAATTAATAAGGGTTCTAATAAGTTGCAGAAATATTGAAAATTGATGGTGGTAAAATAGAAATATTCACATATCATATAGCTAAAAAATCATTAACATACACACAAAGAGACAAAAAGAAAATCGGGACCAAGTGTCTGGTTTAGCAGAAAAGATGCCTATTAAAATCCCAAGTCCCACATCAGAGTAGCTGGGTTTGCTTCACAGCTCTTACTCCCAACCCCAGTTTCCTGCTGGTGCAAAACCTTGGGAAACAGTAGATGATGGCTCAAGTAGGTGAGCCTTGCCACCAACATGGGAGACAGAGATCCCAGCTCCTGGGTCTAGCCCTAAGCCAGTGCGGGCTATGGAGAGTGAACCAGTGGATAAGAAAGGCTTGTCTTTCTGTGTCTGTCTCAGTTGCTTTTCTTTCAAGATTTATTCATTTTTATTGGAAAGGTAGATCAAATTAACAGGGAGAAGGAGAGACAGAGATAAAGATCTTCAATATATTGGTGCACTCCCCAATTGGCTGCAATGGCCAAAGCTTAGCCAATTCAAAGCCAGGAGCTTCTTCAGGGTCCCCCTTGTGGGTTCAGAGTCCCAAGGCTTTGGGCCATCCTTTACTGCTTCCCCAGGCCACAAGCAGGGAGCTGAATGGAAGTGGAGCAGCTAGGACACAAACCAGCACCCATATGGGATTCCAGCATGTGCAAGGCAAGGATGTAACCACTGGGGCTATTCCACTGAGCTCAAAAAGAGAGAGAGAAAGGAGCGAGAGAGGAAAAGAGAGAAAGAAAGGAAAGAAGGATGGATGGAAGGAAGGAAGGAAGGAAGGAAAATGTATGACTTAAGACTTTTCTTTAAACAAACCAGATAGCAGTGCAGCAATCTCACCATGTGGTGGCACTCACATCTGTATTGTGAATTTGTTGGAAAATTTAGGCAGACAGGAATCCCGTGGGTAACAACAGGAAATAAACAGTTGTAAGACTATTGCATTAAAAGAATGCTGGAAATGTTCTACATCTTGATCTGAGTGATGACTGCATATGTATATACAATACTTAAGGTCTATGCATTTTACCATATGCATGTGTATATTGAACCTCAAAATAAGATTGTCATTATTAATGAGAATCATTTTATATAAGCCATATTAAACTTCGATTTTTGTTAAACACTAGCAAAGGATTTCAGAAGCAGTATGAGATATTACCATTTCTCATATTGTGAAAGCTTTTTTCTTTTTTCTTTTTAAGAGAAGTCAGATTTTACAAAGAGAGGTAGAGATAGAGAGAAAGGTCTTCCATCTGCTGGTTCACTACCCAAGTGACTACAGCAGCTGGAGCTGAGCTGAGCTGAAACCAGGAGCCAGGATCCTCCTCCAGGTCTTCCACACGGGTGCAGGGCCCTAAGGCTTTGGGCTGTTCTCAACTGCCTTCCCAGGCCACAGTCAGGGAGCTGGATGGGCAGTGGAGTAGCCGGGCCTACACAAACCAGCACCTATATAGCATCTCAGCGCATGCAAAGCAAGGACTTTAGCCACTAGTCTACCCTGCCAGGTCCTGTGAAAGTATTTTAACGTAGTTATTTTAGTTTATGGCTATGTGTATGTATGTATATTTAAATATTTATTTTATTTATTTGACAGAGTTACAGAGGGAGAGCAAGAGACAGATGGTGAGATCTTCCATCTACTGGTTCACTCCCCAGATGGCTGCAACAGAAGCCAGGAGTGAGGAGCTTTGTATCACAATGCCACTCCATGTGGCAATATATTTAAAACATTTAAATGGCCAATTTAGGGTCCAGCATTGTAGCATAGCATGTAAAAGCTGTATGGGTGCTGGTTCAAAGTTCAGGTTATTCTGCTTCCTAGCCAGCTTTCTGCCAATGTGGCTGGGAAGGCAGCGGAGAGCGTCCCAAGTCCTTGGCCCTACACCTGTGGGGGAAACCTGGAAGAAGCTGCTGGCTCCAGGTTTTTTCAGGCTGGCCCAGCTTCTGACATTGCAGCTATTTGGAATGAACCAACAGATGGAAAAAATCTGTCTCCTTTCTCTCTGTAACTCCATCTTTCACATCAATAAATAAATCTTTAAAAAAAGGTTGTCAATATAAATTAAAACTATACCATTAACAGCACAGCAGTACAGGATAAATATATAACTACCTCCTGAAAGTTCATACGGAAGAATTATGGAAACTCAGCTGCATATTGTCAGTATAGATGAATTCATTGACACCTTTTTGGGCGAAAAATCACACAGCTCACTTATGAATGAATTTTTATAGAAAGTTAAAAAATGGTGAAGATGAAGCATGTTGTTTAGGGAAGTTCACGTAGAGAATGAATATCATGCAGGTCTGGCTGGTGGTTGGCCTTGAGCCACAAGCTGCAGGGTTGCCCTGGAGAGCCTCGTATCGTTCTGCTCTGGTTCTTCATGTAGGTGTTGGTTACGTATAATTGTTGTTTATGTATAAAGCAGGGAGATTAAAAAATAAAAGCCCCAATAATTATCTATAAAAAGTGATTTTAGCAAAATTATCTCTTTGTGCTAACATGAGAGTTTCTCTGAGTTATCCATGTACAAGTCAATTTGCTGGGCTGTAAGGTATTCATGTCTTTACTGGATATTACAAAATTACTCTTCAAAACAGCTATAGAATGGAATTTTTATTCAGTCAGTAGTGAATGGAAATTACTGTTTATTTATTTTTCTGTCTCTGGTTCAGCTGTCCTTTGGCAATCATGGGAGATTGGCTGATTGGCTCCAGGGATCTCATAAGTAGTACAATTCCAGGAAGCTCACGAATGGCATGGTATTTACATGTAACATATGCCTATCCTTCTGTATGTGTTAAATCATCCCTGGGCTACTTGTAATACCTAATACAACGTAAATACCACGTTAATAGTTGTTATCTGAATCAAGTAGGGGATGGTGACAAGAAAAAATATGTATGTTCCAGTATTTACTTGAGACAGATATACAGATGAGAGCTACCATCCACTGTTTCATTGTACCAATACCCTTGAAAGGTTGGGGCTGGGTTAGGGCCAGGCCACAGCTACGAACAAGTGGGTGACAGGGACTTGACACTTGAACTGTGACTGCTGCATCCCAAGGCGCACATTAACAGGAGGCTAGAGTCACAAGTGGAGCCAGGATTTGACCCTAAGCACTCTGATATGGACATCCAGTGTCTTAACTGCTAGGTCCAACACTGCTTCTGGTAGATTTTGTTTGTTTTTTGTTTTAATTTCTGCCTGTGGTTGGTTGTATCTGTATATGTGGAACTCCTATGCAGAGTGCTGACTGCGTTTTTGTATGGGGGTAGCATGATTTTGATAGTAACATGCTCTACCAAGCTACTTCTTATGTCTTCTGATTATTTTATGGTACATATATATATGGTTTGTCATATTCAGATTTGGTAGTGATTATTACAATTTAAGTTGCAAATACAACTTGTTTCATAATGATGAAATTAAGAGAACGCTGCGACTTGTCTCGAAATCCTATAAGACTTTAGCACAATTCTGTCACACTTCACCTGCCATGTATTAATTGGGGCC